CCGTGTCCGTAAGTAACATTTTAGTGCTCTGGTCGGGCATACGGCTGCTGCTGGCCAATAGAAGTCTGTTTTTAAAGTCGTTTTACTGTGGGAGACCCGTATGTTTCAGGGAGAGGCCTGGCCAGCCGTTCCCTTGAGTGGGGCCAGAGCACGACGAGATATCATCGCAGCCACGTAAGTGACTTTTAGTGCTGTGGCCGGGATTCATACCACTTTTTAATCAACAGATTTCTATTTTTAAAAGGAACGTTTTACTGCCTCCTGCTCCTCTGGTTTTTAGGTCAGCTGTCGTGGAGTCGCCCCCGTTTTAACTGGACTTTTAACAGTTTTACTATTTTAGTATTTTATTTTGTATTATATTTCTTTTATTGTAACTTTTTGTAATAAATTATTGTTGTATTCCTTTTAAGTCTGTTGGTTTTTACACTGCTCACCTTGTTTTTAAGAACCTTTTTAGCCGCGAGTCCTAGTCTCGCTTGAACAACCAGGTGGTGTTGCTTTTATCAATCAATCAATCAACGTTTATTTGTAGAGCGCCTTTCCTACACAAGGCAACGCAAAGCGCTTCACATCCCCTATCACATCATGCATAAATCAAACACATTAAGAGCACAAGATATATTAAAAACATTAGAAATAAAATCACAAAAATTAAAAACCTTTAAACATTAAAATCACAGATGGGACTAAAATCATAAATAGTCACAGTGCATTAAAAAGATTAAAGATAAAAACAAAGATGAAAAGATAAAATCATTCAGTTGTATATGCGCAGCTAAACAGAATTGTTTTGAGCCTAGATTTAAAAGATGCCAGAGTAGACGCCTGTCTCACATTCTCAGGAAGACGGTTCCAGACTCTAGCCGCATGAATCTGAAATGCAGTTTGCCCATGTCTAGTACCGACTCTGGGCACTAACAGGAGTCCAGTCCCTGTGCTCCTCAGAGTCCGGGTCGGTTCATATGGCACAAACATGTCGTGGATGTACCTTGGCGCGAGACCATGGAGAGACTTGTACACAAGTAAAGCTGCTTTGAAGTCTATTCTCTGAGGAACAGGAAGCCAGTGCAGAGACCTGAGAACTGGACTAATGTGGTCGTACTTCCTAGTTCTGGTCAGGACTCGAGCTGCTGCATGTTGAATGTACTGCAGCTGTTTTACAGCCTATTTGGACAGACCTGTGAACAAGCCATTGCAATAGTCTAACCGACTGGAGACAAAAGCGTGTATAAGAGTCTCCAAGTCTGCCTTAGACACTATGTTTTTAATTTTAGCAATGTTTTTTAGGTGGTAATAAGCTGCTGATGTTACAGATTTTATGTGGCTTTTGAAATTTAAGTCTGAGTCCATTATCACTCCTAGATTTCTGACCTGATTTGAGGGTTGTAGAGAGAGAGCCTGGAGGTGACAAATAACGCTATCTCTTTGTTTCTGGGGTCCGAAAACAATTATTTCAGTTTTGTCGGTGTTTAGTTGGAGAAAGTTATTTTGCATCCAATCACCGATTTGCTGGACACAGTGAAGGAGCGAGTCCACTGGTTCATGCTCTCCTGCTGTCAGGGACACATAGACCTGAGTATCGTCAGCGTAATTGTGATAAGAGACATTATTACTGTGAATCAACTGACCTAGAGGCAACATGTAAATATTAAACAGAAGAGGACCCAGGATTGACCCCTGTGGCACTCTGCAGGTCAGGGCCAAGTGGTCTGAGGTACAGTTTTCGATCTCCACAAAAAACTTTCTGTCTTGTAAATAGGACCTAAACCAGCTTAGGGCGGTGCCAGCAACACCAACCCAGTCCTCAAGTCTCTGAATGAGGATGCCATGATCAATAGTGTCAAAAGCAGCACTTAAATCTAACAGAAAAAGGACTGAGACTTTTCCTGCGTCAGTGTTTAGTTTGTAAGTAAGTAAGTAAGTAAAGTTTATTTATAAAGCGCTTTTCACAGATAAAAATCACAAAGTGCTGTACAGGACAGTGGGCAAATACAAACAATATAAAATACACTTACACACATTACACATTTTATGTACTTAAAAGTGACATCAGTGAGAACCCAATCAACTAAAAGCTTTCTTAAATAAATAAGTCTTCAAGCCTTTTTTGAAAGAGTCCGCAGAGTCGACCAGACGTAGGGACAGGGGCAGGGCGTTCCACAGTCTGGGGGCAACAGACTGAAAAGACCGGTCCCCTCGAGTCTTATAATGGGTTTTGGGGACCACAAGCAGGTTCTGGCCAGAGGACCGGAGAGAACGGCCAGAGGAGTACAGGCTCAAAAGGTTCAGGATGTACTGGGGGGCCTGACCATTTAAGGCTCTGAAGGTCAGCACTAAGATCTTAAAATCAATCCTGAATTTGACTGGGAGCCAATGAAGAACAGACAGAACAGGAGTGATATGGGACCTACGAGGGGCACCTGTTAAAAGTCTAGCAGCAGAATTTTGAACAATTTGAAGTTGATTGAGTGCAGACTTATTCAAGCAGGTAAAAACAGAGTTGCAATAGTCAAGTCTTGTTGAAATAAAAGCGTGAATGATCATTTCCAGATCATTCTTTGACAACATATTGCGGATTTTTGCAATGTTCCTAAGGTGATAAAAGCAGTTACGGACGAGCTGTTTGGAGTGTGTCTCCATAGACATGGCCTGGTCAAACACAACCCCTAGGTTTCTGAGGCTGGATTTGACGGAGGAGCCAAGAGAGCCAAGGTGCTGTTTGATCAGCGGGATCTTATGGTCTGGAGCAAAGATGAGCGTTTCAGTTTTGTTGGAATTTAACTGTAAGTAGTTAGTGGCCAGCCAGTCTTTAATGGAGGATACACACTCCAAAAATGATGACAAGCGCTGGAACTCAGAGTCATTAAAAGAACAGTACAACTGGACGTCATCGGCATAGAAATGGTAGGATACATCCTCGAAGTGATTAATAATTTTACCAAGTGGCAAAATGTACAATAAAAACAAAATCGGACCCAAAACTGATCCCTGTGCCACTCCGCAGGACAGATTAGTCACATCTGACTGTACATTGTTTAAAGCAACATTAAAAGTTCTGCCATGGACATATGAGGAGAACCACTGGAGGACAGACCCAGAAAGCCCTATCTCATTTTGAAGCCGGTCAATAAGTATATTATGATCCACAGTGTCAAAGGCAGAGGACAAATCCAGAAGTACAAGAACTGTGTAGCGTTGGGAATCGGCTGCCATCATTACATCACTAGAAACTTTGATAAGAGCTGTTTCAGTGGAGTGTAATTTACGAAAACCAGACTGAAGTGGATCAAACAAATTGTGCTGTTCCATAAAGGAGGTCAGCTGGCATGCCACTACTTTTTCCAGAATTTTGGAAATAAAAGGAAGTTTGGAGATGGGCCTGTAGTTTTTAGGTTCTGAAGGGTCCAGATTGGGCTTTTTAAGGATTGGGTTTACCACAGCATGCTTGAAGTAGCTGGGGACTGAGGCAGATGAAAGAGAGAGGTTAATTATTTTAACCACACAGGAGCCAACAGTACTGAACATTTTCAAAAATAGTGACGTTGGGACAATGTCAGCCGGGCTCGAGGAAGGCTTCATGTTATTCACTAAAGTGTTCACATCCTGTAAGCTGACAGGAGAGAAGGACGACCAAGATGACACCGGGGACAACTTAGTGGAACAAACACTGGTTAGGGGAAGATTCACGTTTGCCCTAATGTCTTGAACTTTGTTTACGAAGAATGACAAAAATTTATTACAGTCCTCATGTGAGTACACAGGCACAAGAGGAGCTGAAGGTGCAGAAAGATTTTCAATGGTGTCAAACAGGATTTTTGGATTTTTCTTATTGCCTGACACAAGGTTTGAAAAATAAGATGAGCGAGCCTGCTTTATCATTTCATTCAGTTCCAGCATCAGGTCTTTTAAATGAAGTCTATGTACTTCTAATTTGGTGGCTTTCCAAAGACGCTCTGTCTTCCGACATTTTCTCCTAAAACTACAAATGTCATCATTCATCCATGGATGGGCTTTTTTATGTGATCCTGAAATATCTTTAACAGGTGCTACCAAATCCAAAATAGACACACAGTGGCTGTTGAAACTTTGCACAAACGAATCAACATCATCACAAACAACAAAGGAGCGAGGGTCAAATCGGACAGAGAAATCACTAAATGTTGTCTCACTAATGATGCGTTTTTGTGTAACAACATTGGAGACAGTTGGCATCATGACGCGTGACAGAGTGAAGGAAATGCAACAGTGGTCACTAATATGAAATGCATCAACACTCATATTTTCAATGTTTAGGCCACATGAGAAGACCAAATCTAGCGTGTGACCTTTTATGTGCGTGGGGCCAGAAACGTGCTGTACAAAATTGAAAGAGTCCATGGTCGTTAACAGTTCAGCTGCAATCACACAAGAGGGATCGTCGATATGGAGATTAAAATCCCCAAGGACTAAAACGCGATCTAGTTTGATAATGGATGTTAAAAACTCAGAGAATTCATCAAGGAATGTGCGCGCAGTACCAGGAGGTCGGTAAACTAAGACACAGTAAAAGGGGAGAGTTTGTCCAACCTTGCACATCTGTAGCTCGAAGGAGTCGTATGAAGCTCCATCCATCAAACTGCAGCAGAAAGAGTCACGAAAAACCAGCGCCAGTCCGCCTCCACGGCGCGCGAGGCGAGGACTCCCAAACACGGAGCAGTCCGGGGGGCATAGTTCTCTCAGATGAAGGTGCTCGTTCTCCCGTTGCCAAGTCTCCGTTATGAACATAAAATCCAAGTTCTCTTTAGTGAAGTGGTCGTTCAGTGTAAACGCCTTGTTTGCAATAGAGCGCGCGTTGAGAAGAGCAATCCTGGTGGCGCGCATCCGTGACGCGGGCTGGCCTGGGACGGGCTGGATGGCATGATCCGTCTGGCAGGTAACCGGGCACAAGACGCGCTGGCGGGGGGCATGATGGTAAACAGCTCGGGTGGGAAAGAGCCGGTCGGAGGTGCTCCACACGAGCGATGACACACAAGCCGCGTCCCGAACTGGCGCGCAGACCGGAACCGGCCTCAGGCACCGCTCACTCCTGGGAGATTTGGGTCCGTTCAGCCCGGGTGAAGATCCAAGCGATGACCACCTTCTCCTCCGGACTTGGACCCCAGCCCTGGATCCACGCTTCCTTCTCCTTCCGCGGCGCCGGGTAAGCAACGGGTATTCCGGTGGTGACGCATGGCGCTCCAGTTTTGGAGGGAAAAACTCAGAGAATCTGTGCCGGGTAATGCAAAAGTCCTGCATATGAGCCTTAATGCGGAACAATGTGTGCCGATCATACTGTATGATGGCGGAAACATAGCTGGTAGTTGATAGGGTTGACACAAGGAACATCACAAGAAAGATTGCAAATGTACGAGAGAGCAGACAGGTAAGCGACGCGCAGCCAGACACAGGCGCCATCTTTACTGCAAAAGGCTGTATTCAATGTCTGATGTCATTTGTTACCTTTATTAGCGCAGTCTCAGTGCTGTGGTGGGGTCTAAACCCTGACTGGAACATATCATAAGCGTTATTGATTATAAAAAATTCTGTAAGTTGTTGATAGGCAACTTTTTCTAGAATTTTTCCCATGAAAGGCAGATTTGAAATGGGGCGATAATTTTTGAGTGCCAGGGCTTCCAGACTCCTCTTTTTTAGGAGGGGCCTGATGACCGCCGTTTTCAAGGCCATTGGGAATGTTCCAGATTCAAGAGACATATTAACTATTTGTGTAAGTGAAGGTAAAAGACTGCTCAGAACTGACTTGAGAAATCTAGGAGGTAATACATCCAGGCTGCATGTGGAGGAACTCAGACTAGTGATTATCTCCTGGACAGTTTCAATTTGTACTGGTGTAAAGTGCGTCAGCCCAAAAAGCCTCACTGGCGGTTGGATTATTATTTCTATCGTGGAGGTGATGGCGTTTTTGATACCTTGGACTTTGTCATTAAAGAACTGAGCAAACTCATTACATTTAGATTTGGAAGTAAGTTCTGATGGCATCTTAACAGGGGGATTCGTCAATCTATTTACTGTTGAAAACAGAACACGTAGATTGTTGCTACAGCCTTCAATAGTTTCAGAAAAGTACATTTCCCTCGTTCTACGTAGTTCCCTGTTAAAATTGCACAACGCATCTTTGAAGATCTCATGGTCAACTTTGAGATTTGACTTTCGCCACTTCCGCTCGGCCTTCCGGCACTCTCTCTTCTGTGCCCTGACCGAGTCTGCTTTAGTCCATGGCGCTTTTTGCTTGTTTGTAACTATTTTAACCTTTACAGGAGCAATTGTATCCAGAACATTCAAAACAGTGGTGGTGACAGAGTCAAGTAATTCATCTACAGTAACACACAACGTGTTCTCAAAGTTTACCCTCCCCATGAACAGTTCGCCTGTATTATCATTTATGTATCTTCTTCTAACAACCGAAGATTCAGCTGGTGGTTTACAATCAAGACACATGTCAAAAAATACACAGAAATGATCAGACAGAGCAACATTGACCACATTTACATTTGAAATATTAACCCCCTTGGTAATTAACAAATCGAGAGTGTGTCCTCTGCTGTGGGTGGGGCCACTCACATGCTGAGTGAGACCAAAGGTTTCCAGCACAGAGCTCAGCTCTTTCGCGTATCTATCATTAGCATTATCTACATGTATATTGAAATCACCTATAATGACTAAACCATCAAAATCTGTGCACACAACTGAAAGCAACTCAGTGAAATGATCAGTGAAACTATGGCATGACTGTGGCGGCTTGTACACAACAATAATAAGAATGGAAGAAGATTTCTTTTGTTCTATTTTAAAAGAAACATACTCAAATGATGAAAATTTCCCAAGAGACACTCTATGGGAGACAATACGATCTTTAAAAACTGCTGCTATGCCCCCCCCCCCTTTTATTTTCTCGTGTTTCATATTCAAATTTGAAATTTGGTGGTGAGGCTTCTATTAAAACTGCATCTCCTGTATTATGGTCAAGCCATGTTTCAGTCATAAACATAAAATCAAGATCATACGAACAGATAAAATTATTAATTAAAAATGATTTGTTGCATAGTTATCTGACATTAAGTAGAGCAAGGTTAAAATTAATATCAGTGTCAGTGGGTTTAGTTGATTGACTACAAAGAATTGGAATTAGATTTCCAGAGTTGGACCGTCTAACTGCTGTCCTTCTTTTAAATTTGTGTTTATTCAAGTTAAAACACATTTCTGAGCTGGTGCGAGGAACACACACAGTCTCTATTGGTTTAAAAAGTGAACTCTGTTGTACTTTGTTAAGTTCCAGATGCATAACTGAGTCAGCACAGTTCAGTGGCAGGACTGTCGTTACACTTCCAGACGGACAGGGGTCAGTGTTTGCACCATAGTACTCACCCGGTGCTGGTAAGGAGGAGGAGGGGGGGGGGGGGGGGGGGTGGTGAGGAGGAGGAGGAGGGGGTGGTGGGGGCCGAGAAGCCTCAGATGTAAACAGTCACGCCCCCCTCGGGGAGCGCTGAACAACATGGCGTAGGAAGTCCGTCAACAAACTGGTGCCGTATCTGTTCGGGTGCAAACCATCTGGACGATAGGCCACGTGACGCTTCCAGAACAGGCCAAAGTTGTTCACAAAAATAAAGTTAAAAGTGCTGCATGTAGATTGGAGCCACATGTTGAGTGCCACAACGCGACTGTAGAGGCAGTCACCCCGGTTTACAGTCGGGACTGGACCAGAAATAAAAACGGATAACCCGGAGGACTGGAGGAGGCGGAACAGATCCATAAAGTGCTTCTTTGTGACCTCTGACTGCTGCAGCTTCATATCATTTATACCCACATGCACGATTACCTTGGATATGGTATCGGGCAGGGAGTGAAGCAGAGGAGGGAGACGGATGAGCAGATCTGGGACAGTAGCTCCGGTAATGCAGTGAGTGACCGCGTTAAAAAAGCGGACGTGCCTCACGATGGAATCTCCAACAATCAGAGTAGTCGGGGCGAAGAGTGGACGCGGCCGCGGAGAGGGCGCTCGGTGTCCATGGCCAGAACCAGCGGGCTCATCCAGGGATGGGTCCGAACCAGGGCGCTGCTGAACACATGGAGAGGAGTGGGGGTGTTGATTCCCAGCTCCGGGCAACCCACGCTGTGTGCACGGAGACGCTGGAGCGGCGAGAGGAGCAGGCTCGGGTCGCTGCTGCTGACCCGGTGAAGGTAAGTGGTGGTGATGCACTGGGGTCAGAGAAGGGGAATGACCACTCTTTCGTCTGAGGACAGCTTCCTTTAGGAGTGTCTTTCTCGCAGTGGACCTGGATCCACGGACAGCAGTAGAGTTTGCTGCAGAGTCCAGGGGTTCTGCTGAGGGGGCTGGGATGTCAGCGGAGAGGGCTGCATAGCGGTTTGACAGGCTCAGGACATGGGCCACGGCGCTGGATGGCTCCTCGCAGTCCGCAGGCTCTTTATTCCGAACCGGGCACTTAGGTGTAGAACAAGAGGGCCCAGAGCTGACAGATCTCTCCCACACGAGAGTGTCACAGTATGCAGCGCTCAGTGACATAAGCCGTGAGTGCTGCCCGCCAGCGACATCAAAAAGTTTGGACACGAGTGACTGTTTATCCTGCAGCTCTGCAGTGAGGCGAAGGACTTCTTTACGGAGGTCTGCAATAGTGGCACGGCCCCTCTCACGAAGCTCCAATGTGAGGCGACTAATGTCGTTCGTGGTCATTGCAGTGTCACTTTCCATGTCTGTGGTGCGCTCGTGGTAGCCTCCGAGCTAGCGCGTTTCGATTGGGTCTTTGTGTTAAAAGACGTGATGCTCTGGAACCATTGCATTTAAGGTAATAAAACACTAGAGTGTACAAAAGACACTAATACACCGTAAAAACGTGTTTAAAAGGCTTTAAAAGGCTTAAAAAGGGTAAACAGAGCAGAGACGTCAAAAACGCGATTATGTGGCAGAGTATATATGAAACTCTGCCACATAATCACAGTTGTAGTTTGAGTTATTATTTTGAGGGGGGAAGTCACAAAGAAAAGGGAATAAAAACCTGTAGCACAAGTGTCGCACACAAAAAAAAAGAATACAAAATAAAAAAACAACAATAATAAATACCTAAGTTCATAATTTGTTAAAAACAAAGTTCTTGTTAAAAACATCAAAAGTCTTTTTACAAGTTAAAAACAACCTTGTTTATAGTACTTTATTTTTGAATTTGAGATCCAATAGAAACCGGGGGGTCGGGGCCGAGCTCACATTAGGAGCCGCTCTGTCCTCTCACTCATTCATTCACTCACTTCAATCTTAGACACAACCTGAGGAAGACCTGCAGAGTTCTGGCAACCCGATCACGGACTTCCATGGAACTTCCTGATTCGCGAAGCGGCGGAGGGCAGGCCGCCAAAATGAAAACAATAATAACTTTTACGGGTCGTAAAACTAATTTTGATATTCAAGTATCTCGGCCGAACTACTTTTATCAGTTAAAGATGTATTCAATAAGAGCATGATTTAATGCCTTTTGAAATATTGGGGCCATTTAAAGCTGCACTAACTGACTTTGGGATTTTGAAGCAGCAGACTCGCTGGCCTCTCTCTTTCTGCTCCCCTCCCCGCACCCACGAAGCTATCGCCCCCCACACACATCCACTGTTGGGACGAAGCTAGCGTCTCCCAATATGGATAATACATGGACATGGATTTGCACGTGGATGGCGTGACCATAGAACATAGAACCGGGAAGCGCGGAGGAACGAGACTTTCTTTTGGATGGCTGTCTTGCTGTGTAAGCAGTAACCGGTGATGAAGAGACGAAGCTTCAGGTTAGCTCCTCGTCTTGTTGTGCTAACTCAGCCGTCTATGCTAACGGAGACCTGTAGATTTCTCACAAAAGTGGGGGCCAGTGGTCCGCGGTGATTGGTCACAATCCGCGACCCGAAACACATTCTCTTCCTTGTTTCATCAAAACTCGATCTAAAATATAATGTCACGCCAGCACAAATCTGCGCTACTTTTTCGTCAAAAGGACGTATATCCCAATGCCCTACACGGACATGGATAGCATTTTCGTAATGAATACAAAAATAAAGTCAGTTAGTGCAGCTTTAATGATGACTTGACATGCAAATATTACATACTGCTACTTTAACTTTGACCATATCAACTTCTTCAGGCTTTAGAATGAAGGTGAATCTGTCAAATTCTCTTGCGATTCTGTTGCAGTACATGGTTAGAGAGGAACTTGGACATCTTTTTCTGGACGGTTTCAAAAAACTCTGACCTGGGTGGTTGTTTGATCATTGTGTGAGGATTTGCTAGGAGGTTACGTTTTGCTTTTTTTTTTATCAGTTTGTTGCTGGCCAATCACTTCTTTTTCTTGCCATTATGCACTGGTAAGATGACTTCTTCCCAAACATCTACATACTCTTCATTGCTGCAGGCATCCACCCGACTTATACAGGCTTCACGGAAGCAGGTAAGGTTTGAGTTTTTAAGATGCTTGCTTCACTTCCATCAGACGTAACACAATGTAACTTCCTAGTTCCTTTCATTGTCTTCATTGTTCTACCTCTATTTCTAGGAATGTCGTCAATGTAGAAGAATGAACGCCGACGATGGGAGCAAACCCCCAACACTGTCATGATCACCTTTTGACAATTTCTTCCGACAAAACTCATGAAACTTTTCAACATTTCAAATGATGGCTTTGCGTGAAGTAACTGCTTTTCTCACATAAGTCTTCACTACACCAGATACACCATCGCTTTCACTTTTACCGTGGCGACTGCCAAAGTAGCACCCCTGGATTGGATGAACAAGATCTGTAACAGATTTGGCAATATCAGCAAATGGAATCTTGCTCTTGTATTGCGAGGCACACCCATCTGTAAACTGGATATGCTCCTGTATCGCTATTACCTTCTTCAAGGGATATTCAATTGCTGTCTTCACGAACTTGTGCACAGCATTTGCATCATGGGTTTTATCTGGCGATATCATTACATCTCTTCTGACTAAATTCCCATCCAGTGGACCATGGTAATATCCAACAATTGGATGAAGAGTAACCTGGTTGTGATACCAATGAGCTGATTGAGGTTCATCTTGGTAAAAGCAATTGAAGTTCTCAGCAAAGTCCAAGACTGTCAAGAGCCAGTCATCAGGGAGGTTCTTAACCAGATAAGAATATTGCTTATGCTGCCACAAACAAATGTTTTGCTAACATTTCGACTTAATCACACAGTTTGTCAAGTGCACTCATCACCGAGGTGGTGACGGTGTTTAACTGTAAGCGAGAGCTTTGCTTTTCTGGCAATTTGACCATTTCCCATAGTGTCCAAGTTAGGTTCGCTTGCCCATTATCAAGGAAAGGCTGGAAATACTTCCTCAAAAGATGGGTGCCACATTGGTCACATGTACGCTCAATACACTCACAACAATGAAAATGGTTATTGTTCCTGTCACAAAGTGTAAAATTGACAGCCAAATATTTATAAAGATGCTCTCCTTCACGAACTGATTTTGATAGTGCCTTAAATTTCAGTTCAACATTGGCATAGTAAGTGCACAAACAATTCCGCAGTTTATGTTTTGATTGGTGTAACACATTCCTTGGTCTAAGCTTTGCAAACTTGGTCTGACCTATCTTTAGTTCAGCATGTTCAGTTAGAAAGTCTTTGTATGTTTCTCTCACTGTTTTGAAAAGTATATACTTTCCGCATATAGATAGAAATTCACAACTTTCAACACAATCTCTGCAGGGAGGCAGTCAGATCTTGTTGGTGGAGTTTCATCTATGATGCACTTCAGGTCACGGTTTGAACATTTCGCACACCCAGTACTCTGGACTTGTACCCCTTTTGCATCAGATTACCCCCAGCAGTACCTTCTCACTTCTGCCTTTGTCAAGAACAGACGTGTCTTAGACCGCTTCTGCTCTGACTGCTTGCAAGCGCAGACAACTCTAAAAAGAATTATGGATATCATTAACTGGTCCCTCAACGCAATTGATACTATTTTTTCAACACGTAAGGGAGGACCGATGCCCCCTGCCCTGAGAGGACGGCACCTGCGGGTTACACCTACGACAGCTGGGGCAAGTGGAACCCGTTATGTCTGTCGCTTCTGTCTATTGAAGATTCGGAAGACGTCGACATATTTGGATATCTGGTAGTTGGGATTCTCCTTTTTGCGCTCGGAGCTTTCCAGTTTAACCGCAAAGTGGGAGTCATGGCAGCTCATAAGATTTATGAAAAGCTGTCCAACGAAATTGAAGAGAGGTACAAGGAGCTGACCCGGGTGTTGGTTGAGAGTGCTGTGGGAGCACAACAGAGAGTTACAGGTCGAACATTTGCTTAAAGATCTTGCGATGCAATCTTTGGATGGACATAAAATGATTGAAATGAAGTTAAACGAGATTGAGTGCCAGGGCTGAACTCTCTGACCCCACACGGATAGGCCCTGTGTACAGAGGGTACCATAAATTTGGCTCAATTGGATCTATAGTATATTTGCCGTTGATTTGATCTGCACATAGCTCATATAATTTTTCCCTTCAAGGCAAATGTGTGTTTTTCTCCTGTGTGTCTGTGGCTCCTCTCCTAATCTTCTCCTATTCCATTGGCCAAGGCCGAAGTTGATAACGGGACTCTTCTCCGACACATCACACACTCTACAGCTACCCCTCCCCCCTCTCCTCCTTGTCTTTCATGGCTCCCCCCCCTGACGAAGCCCCCTCTGACAGCCCCATTGGGCCAGGCGGTCGGAGATTTTATCTCAAGAAAGAGGTCAGTGTATTATCCAAAACATACTGTGTCTATCCAAACTGTCTGTGAAACGTGTATGTTACTGCTTTCTGCTGTTTCCTGCTTGTCGCACAGCGTCGCAAGATGGCGCCATGGCATGCTCTGCCAAAGCAATTTCCAAGTGGTGACTGTTGTTTCCTACATGGCAATGAAAATTATTCTGATTCTGATTCTTTTGGACAGAGATCTTTGTTCTCAATATACCTTTATAATCTTGTTTCAATAAATTGTAAACATTTCTTCTATCAAGTTATTGTGTAAATTACTATAATTACAATTTAATCTGGTGAATGATTTATACAAATCAAATAAATACACTCAAGTGATTCAACTATCACACAATGTAGATTTTATTATCTTATGTAGATAGATCAATAATAAAAATAGATTTTCACGGTCTGCTGCCTTCCGTTCTTCCGTAAGAATCTTGCTGTATACTTTTTTTCTCTCTGTCAAATTGTAAATGCCTGTTAAAAAAACTGATTTTGTCAAATTGATCAGTTGATTTGATAAAAAAATAGCATTCAAGGAAACAGACTTACAATTTGTAACGCTCTTCATTATGTTGTATTGCAGACTGATACTCTCATGCGCTCGGCTGCACTTGGTAGAAGGCTTGATGATCTGCTTGAATCAAACTTCATTATGCATTTTATCCAACCCATAATTACATAATAAAAAAGCTGAAATTCTTATTTTTATCAATTTATTTATTAGAGCCCAATAGTCCGCCCCTTGCTCTTCGTGCAAGTTCCATTTATAAAGTGTGTAGAAAAATCTATTAAAAGAATCCGTTCTCAACAAATCCAACATAGAAAACAATACAATACAATACAATACAATTTATTCTTGTATAGCCCTAGGTCACAACAGAAGTCATCTCAGAGGACTTAACAAAACCATTGAAATCACCAACACAGGTCAGAGAATCAACAGTTTCTCTGTTGTAGTGTGTTTTTTCTACTTATTCACAAAGCCAGAGAAAATGTATGTACCCGAGCTTTAATTTAGTGAGTTTTGGTTACGCTTCGGTTGGAGATACGCAGGAGACACGGGTGACACCGCGGAGACACAGGGGAGGAGACACGGGGGTGACACAGAAGAGGAGACACGGGGGTGACACAGAAGAGGAGACACGGGGGTGACACAGAAGAGGATACATGGGGGTGACATAGCGGACACCCGGGGGAGAAGCTGGGGATGGTCCTGTACGGGCGAGCGCGGACCAGACTTCGGGCAAGCGGACCACGATAGATTGTGCGTTCGCTGGGGTGTTGTGTTGACAGCGGCTCACGGGAACGGCTGTCATTACAAAGCTGCCACAGCTACTCCCTTAGTCAGAACGGAGGATGTGGAATCACGTTCGAGTACTTGACTCTTAAAAAATGTAAAACGAATATGAGGATGGGAACGCGGACGCTGTGAAAAGTGGATACAAAAAATCTTAGATTTATAGGGTTGTGGTCAGGGAAGCCATCACAGATATTTGAACTCAAAATTGATGAAAAGCTCATGAGTGAAAATAAACAGATTGCTCACCAATTCAATAGCTATTTTGTTACATCTGTTGAAGAATTGACTAACAGCTTCTGCTTAGGTTCCAGGATGGAACCTCGGCAACATGGAGAATATCCAACTGTCTGGAAACAATTGAGGGTAATACCAATTCACAAATCCAGAGACAAAAGTCAGGTTTGCAACTACAGGCCAATAAGTCTTCTGCCGGTGTAACGCCGAGATACACTGCCTTGAAGAGATGCATTGCCTCAGCTGTTTATGATGTAATGCAAACCTGCACATGCGCGTCTCACGGCAGCCGAAGCATACCAAGATGGCGGACCGTGAATTGCTTTAAAAGTTAAAACACGAACGAATTAAGTCACTAATGCTAATGTTTTCATAGCAGTGAGCGGCTGCTGATGTAGGCTGATGACGCGTCCTGTGGCAACTCTACAGCTTACAGCTGGTCTGTCGGGTTGATAATGGAAATAATAAATTTAATCTAATGCATGTATCGTACTGTATTCAATATGATTAACAATAGTGTGTTCAAACGAAATATTTAATTAGATCGAGTTTTTCCCCAGCGCAAACTGAGGTGCAGTCACTGCAGGAGCACCACACACCGGGACACCACCTGCAGGAGGAAACAGCGCAAAGACCGGGACGACGCGCACAAAGCCTCCGAGGAGACTGCAGGAGACCAGGAGTACGCTTTCCGAGTGAGCGAGGGGTCTGCAGGTGTCAATTTTTTTTTTTTTTTAATAATCAATCAATAATTATCAAAAATAATATAATAATCAATCAATATAAAAAAGAAAACGAAACATAATTCAATAATCAATCTCCCCCTTTTTATCACAATCCTGTGGTAAATTAAACATCCCTTATAGGCCAATGTGTCCACCCCCATCCCCCTGATCCCTTATGTCCGGATCCAAACCACGTCAGTTAAATGCTCATCCCCTTGATCTAAAGCCCATTCCTAAAGTCAGAGAAATTGCCAAATTCTTCAATAACCTGAAGTCCATCAACCATAATTTTCAAACCCCTGAACGCCAAAATCTAAAATGGCAATACCTGATATTCAACATCCTGAACCCCACATCGCCCTGACCATCAACAACCCAATCTCCAATGTCCAGGAGACCTCAAAACCCTGTCCTCCACCATCTCTAATGTCAGAAAAAATCCTGATATCCAGACTTCCTGAACCTCAGGGGCAAGAACCTCAACCTCCGATTCCTAACGTCTGTAAGTCCAGAGCCCCAAAGTCCAAAATCCTCACTTCCAACGTTCCAGAAGGTCTTCATACTATTGTCATCACTAGTCCCTATGCCATCAGACACTTGCACCACAGGGCTATCTGGAGAGACTCTATAGTGGCTTTATCGTGTTGCTTCCCGCACTCCCTATAACTCCCCAAGGGGTGTTCTAACTACTAGATCAGACACTTCCATCTCTGTCCCCCTGTCGGCCTCCTTTTCTATGATGTAGTGAACTTTCATTACATCAAGCAGGATCTTTCTGGTAGCACTAGTGGGCCTAGTGTTTGGTGTGATGTGCACAAATGATGACTCTGTAGTTTGTGATCGTCTAAGTAATATATCAAAGTGTACACCGAAGTTTTGAGATTTTTAATGGCCTTTCCAAGTTAGCTGATCCCAACAATGTTTTCTGGTTTATTCACATAAATGTAGCCTCCCAACTGTAAGTGTTAGTCTTTTTCAAGCCCTCAAAGGGCTCCGGAGTATTTCTGGTCACGGGACAATGTTATCTGCAGAAACTCACTGTATGACCAAGTGTTTTTTCATATAAGTTTCCCACATCATCAGTGACTCTGAGGTGGGAGCTCCAGTGAAAGAATAAGTTCTGGGATGTTCTCCCATCACAATCAGTTGAATGGTGACATAAAAATTGCCTGCTTGGTTCTCCTCCTTAATGCCATCAAGCTATAGGGCATTGCCTTTTTCCAATTTCCATTTTTCTCCTGACCCTACACATTGTGCCAATCTTGTTTTTAGTGTCTGGTTGAACCATTCAATCCACCGCCCCTTTGTGATTGCGGGTGTAACACCTGCTCCATAATGCTGTTTTAATATTCACCTCTCACATAGTTGAGCCTTTGTCTGGTTCTTAAAATGCGGCCGTTTCAGAATCAGATAACTCTCTAGCCGGGCCGGCCGTACCTTGGAAAGATCTCTGTCAAAATACTTGGCCACTGATTCTGGCATTTGCTTTTGCCAAGGAAAAGCTTCAGTTGGCCCATCGTGTGAGTGGTCTATCATTGTGAGCACGTTTCTACAAATACCCATCCGCTTCATTATCAGCAGTCATGTCGATGAATCTTTTCGATTTCCGCCATGGGCCTTGGGAGGCACTCGGGTATGCTCGCTTTGCGGGCCTTTACCAGCCCTTGCCTTAGAGAGCCCTTGACATATGTCACATGAGTCACATAGATCTGGATGGTTGGTAGCATAAAAGGATGGAACATGTCCGTCTTAGTTCTGAAAAAATTTTTGAGCACTTATGTTGTTTCCTCATGCTTACTTTGATGATCTGAATAGTTTTTTAGTAGGTCACCTACGTTACCAAATGTATCATAGAAATACTCCTTCACTGTTTTTTATGGCCCCTGCAGTTTCCAGACTGTCACATCATACAGTTAGGGATTTTCCTTGCAATATGTGTGGACTGTTCTCTTACCCTTTCCTTCCACTGTGTCCTTCCTCAGTTCCCTCAGGATGTCTCAATAATCCCCTGCAGTGCAGTACCTATCCTGTCATACATACCCAGCGGTCATTTTAGCAACTCTATTTAGCTAACTCATTGCCCCTTGCCACATAGTCCCTGGCTCGAGTATGGTGCTCTGCACTTGACCAATGCAGTTTTTGTGACGTACATTCTGAATGTTGGTCTGCCACCTTCTGCCATAATTCCAAATGTGTAGGTCTCAAATTTTTGTTGTGAGAAATTGTCATCAGATACCCAGATTGGCAAGTGTAAATGCACTGTAGAATGCACATACACCGAGTCAGTATAGTATTGTGATAGGTCTTCTGGCCTGTTCTCCAAAGCCAGGCTATATGCTACTAATTCTGCATACTGACAGACTTCCCTGCCACGCCTCGGCCTTCAGTATTTAAAATCAGGATTGGAACAGGTGATGTTTCCCTGTCATGGATGACGCTGCTAGCGCTTGCTAACCAATGCACCAGTTTTTGTCTCTATGGCGAGTGTCTGTCCATCTAAAAAATACGAATGTGACCCCTCAATCTCTGACCTGCCCAACTTTTTGATCAGTTGATTCTCACTAGCTGGAACCTCACACTGGTAACTGGGCCTAGAATAAATTGTAATATTGAGAGTCTGTTGTTCAAATGTAAACTTGCATCTTTACGAGTAACAGATGAATCTTTTGAGACATTGAATTTGTCAATGCAAATGTTTTCCCTTCCAAGCTGCATACTTGTTATGTGGCTTCTCACAATAACCTCTGAGTCCCAGATTATGTGTGATGTGGAAACCAGTGAGTTCTAAGGGCCCTTTACATAACGTGCACATGAGAATGGTGTGCTTCTGATCCACAGAGATTGGTGCTGATATGTAAAATATTTTGGGGTGCATCATGCTATTTCTGAAACAACACTGCACAATAATAATCTCCATCATTGTGATTTCCATCATAATTGGGTATTTCCTAATCACCAGTGTAAAGTCTGCCCATTATAGTTTTCTTGATTGATTAAATAGCCTGTGGCTTGCTCCTCAGTCCAGTCAAGATCCATCACATCTGTGTAGCATACATCAATCAACATTTTCTGCAAGGGCTTCATCCTGTAGGAGAAGTTGAAATTTATTTCCTGTTATAGCTGCCGTATTTATGAAGGACATCATTTCTCTCACTGTTTTGGTTTGGAACTCTGATAGTTTGATCAGTCTTGACTGTCACAACATGACTCCTTCTGAAGTGAGATAAGTCTTAGAAAAGATACTCTCTGTCTTACAACATCAACACATTGACCATATTCAATTTTGAATCCCTTTTCCTGCACTACTCTAAGACTTTCATAGTGATTTTCTGTACATGCCTCTTCAGATACACCATGAGATTAGAATATCATCTACATAGGCCAGAACAAAAGTTTTTGTCTGGTCAATGTCAATCGTCAGAGGAGCACGTCCTGGATCATTTGTTAAAGATCCCAGTGCAGCGCAGTGGACCCTGTGGTAAACGCGTATACCACATACTTCTTCCCCTCAACCTGTGAATGCCAGATACATTTTATCCAGCACTCAGGTGCAATGGGATGCAGAAGTAATGCGTTACCGATAAATCAATGGTGGTAAACCAATTATGAGACCACCTGTAAGAATGCAATTGCTCCTGGTGGTCAGGTTTTGTCTCAAAGTTTGTCTTGGTGATCTCTCATTTTAATTTCCTGAAGGTCAATCACTAGTCTGCAGTATGGTTTTTCCTGCCTTGTCTACCTGCCAACATTGGGAATATTATATGGCGTATAACTCCTGTGGCGCTTCGACAATGATTCCTTGCCTTCACCAATTCAGAGACTGTGTACTTCAATTGTCCTGAGTCCTGCTTTAATGGGATACTGCTTCTGATAACTCACTTGGTCATCAAACAGTAGATTATTGCAGGATTCCCTCTGCGTTCCCGATTTCAATGCATGATTTGTCCCCATAGCCTCTCAGGTAAAAAGTGGTGTTTTCTGCTCTTCAAATAGGTTTGAAATTGGTTAGTATTTCCCTGCCATGTGCCTTGTTCTCTGTACTCAGTTCCCTGCAAGTGCTTTAATAATTCAATTGGTCATTGAATTTGATCACATAGCCTCCTGTGTTTCACTATGCATACAATGTATTGGTAATTGTCCCTGGCACACACATGGTTTAAATCACTGGGCCAATATCAGTGCAACACACATTGGATCTAAAATCTTCCTCTGCTTTGGGACTCTAATCATCAAAGTTACATTGGTGTGGATTTGTCAACCCTAAATACTTGGGAGTGTGTCTGTGTTTTAATTTGTGTTTACGCAAACGCCACCCCAGTTCTCCCACCATCCACTACGCAATTCATCTTTGTGTCACATTAGGATCTCCCTACTTTACCCTGTGTCTGGCATGGCACTAGTCTTGTCCATTCCCACTCAAATCAAATAGTTGTCATATGATTTTTTGACTCTGATGCCAAAAATATGCCTGTGTACAGTGTACGACATCTACGTGGAGACCAGCAAGTCCTTGCATCTCTCAGGTAATCCATGACAAAATGGCTTAACTAGTTCATGGCAATTGTATTGGATTACATCACTACCCTCAAAGCCAAAAAACTTTGCTATGATAACGCCAATTTTTTGGTGTTTTAAGATTTTGTTCCTGCTGGCGCAATAAACAGTTCAGTTTCGAGACCACAAGCTGTATAACATGCCCAACTCATTTGACACTGAATCCAATTTCATTCTGGAAAGAAATTCCAATTTCAAAAGTTTTATCAAATCCCTTTCCCCATTAGGTTGTGGGGACAGATTGGGGCTATTAAGAAGATTCATTGTTTACAAGTCGGCTTACTTCCTGATTTATAGGTAACTGTGCAGTCTAGAGTTTTGAGTAAAAAACTCTTGTATGCCAAACCATTAAATCCAGATACGATTTTCCACTTTTTGAGAGGCTCTATACTGCATTTTAAATGAACGAAAAGTTTGCTCCATTGTCTACAGCAGTTTCCCTGAGGCGTCCCTCAAGTGTTATTATTGTGATAAAAATGGACCACCGTTAATGCATCCCTCTCTATCAGGACACGGCATCTTCATTTCGGTAATAAACTGAGTTGATGAGCAAGCGACCTCTGTCCTGACTCTGTCATCTGGTGAGTGTCATATACTGTGGCTGTGGTTGGCCCACAGACCATTGGCTGTTGTGGTTGACTGTTGAGGTGCCTGATACATCTGGTGTATTTGTGGTTGCCTGGATATGGCTGTTTGCGGTTGTGCCTGTGCACGTGTGGTTGTTGGTATGGCTGTTGTGGTTGTGCCTGTACTCTTTGTTGTTGGTATGTTTGAAATGGAAACTCTGTACCTCCTGACCCCTGCATGTGTTGCATTCCTCCCGTTCTGCATTTTCTTGCTAAATTCCGTAACCGTCCACACCTGTACACTTCATGTTTGATAAATCTCTGTCCTGTCTAAATTGTTCCACCACTCTCTACCTCTCTATTCCCTGGGGAATTTCTGAAAACGCTGTCTTGATTTCCATAGGGCATGTTTCCATTTCATTTGCATCATACCTGGTTGCTGCTGTAGTTTGTCCAGTCTGTATAATCTGCTGTGGTTGCAATCACTAACCTGTGTCTGCGTCTGAGCGCTGCTGCAAGTGACTGGATTACCACTAAACAACATTTCTGCTTTCTCCACTTTTTCTGGCTTTGGTCAGATTTTTTAAAACTCTTTAACTAATTCCTTAATCAGTGACAAACTATCATCAGTTTTTGGTGCTGCTTTTCCTCCGAAGAGCTTTTTAATAGTACACATATGACCTAACAAAAGCTGGCAGAGTCAATCCAAATTTAGAATGTGTTTTTTCCTTTTCAGCTCGTCGTTAGTTCTCTGAGCATCGCTGATAAGAACATCTTTTGATCAAATCAATAGGTTGGGTGGAATCTCTTGGATACAATGCCTCAACTCCATATTTATTCTATGCTTCAGGCCTCGCTGTCTCTCCATCCTCACTTCTAGATTTATGGTATCAAACTCCTTATTTATTCTATCTTCATGGCCGTCGCTGCACACGGGAAATAATTTTGGCCAGAGCCATGCACTTTTTTTCCATCACACACTAATACCA